TTCCTAAACTGAAAAGATAAATCTTCAGATTGATTATTTTCTCTGTTCAGGTACAACACAGACAGGAATTTAGGAATAGCTTTTAACATTCCTAAATTGAAGAGGCTGAAGATTATCTGAAGATAAGAAAAAGTTTGTTAGTACAAATTGGGGTCTGGTTTATCTCTTTAGTGAACTCTAAACAACCTTTTTCCTTACAACTTATGCCTCTTCTGACTGTCAGGCCTTATTTTAATGAACATGTGTGATATTATGGGATGCCAATGTGTTACACGCTTGACCACATGTAACTGATTTCCTATGCAAAGGGGAGGTTACTTTTATCCTGTCCAATCAACTTCCCTCTTGGATGTTTCTTTGCTATGCTAACTATAAAAGGTGTTGTAAGCTAAAGATCGGGATTCCCTCTTTGAATGAGAGGAATCCCTTTTGTCTGAATATTCTGATAAATTGTAATAAAATGATCTTCCTGTCTCAGTTTGTCTCATTGGAAAACATGCATGCCGAGGCACGAGCCTAAAAGAGCCACATTTGGCCTTCACTTTCTTATATTCATACTCGGCATTACAAATGCTTTGCAATTCATCTGCAGAATTATGAAGGTTATAATGCAATGAAAGGGACATATATTTCCATATTTTGTGGTCTTGAGCTTTTGCAAATGTTTATTTTTTTTTTTTTAGAAAGCACAGACTTTGTAGCCCTTGATCTGGCATATTTTAAGAGGGGTTTTCTTTGTTTCTTTTTTCTTTTTTCAAATAAAAGCTTTGAATTGAATATACCTCATTTCCCCTTAAATTTCCCATTTGCAGCATTGAAATATTAACGAGTACCTGAGAGGGTCACTAGAAACAAGGAAATGAAGTCTGCACAGCATTCTGCCCATAAAACATGTCTTAGAAACTACAAATTATAACAATCTCTAATGCTTGGGATTTTTGAGGACAGCTCTTACTCAATGAAATATACTCCTGAATATTTTCCTCAACCCCATGACTAAGTGATGATTCTAAAAATGTGCTGCTGATCCTGTTTATTTAATTCCATTTTTAGTACTGCTTCCTACATCAAGAACGATAGAGGAATCTCCCCTGTCTTAAATGCATAGAACAGGGGTCTTCAAACTTGGCTCTTTTATGACTGGTGGACTTCAACTCCCAGAATTCCTCAGCCAGGCACGCTGGCTGAGGAATTCTGGGAGTTGAAGTCCACAAAAGGGCCAAGTTTGAAGACCCCTGGCCTAGAACCTGGAAACAGCCGACATTGTACCCTTGGAAGTGACACATTATTATATTAAGGACTGTTACCTTTTCAAACACAAAAGGGTCTTCATTCCATATAGGGTTGATTGAGTTGGCGCTTGGTGTCACTTTGGTTCTGTATCTACGCTTTGGATCTCCTGGCAGGCCAAACAGCTCTACCTCTACATAGGACTTCACGCTGCGTTCTGAAAGGAACTGCCCAGAAATGATCTGTGCATGGAACAAGAACAGCAGAATAATTTATTACATAAAGTTTCAGCATTAGCTCTTTAGTCCTTTTTTTTTTCTCTTTTGGCCAGAGGCACACACAACTTTTCTCAGGCTGAATCTGGTCTTTGAGTGATCAGGCCGAGAACTACATTCCAAAAAAGTGTGGATGGGGCTGGGGCAAAAGTTAACTTTTGTTTCATTTCTAACACTGCGTTCATGTACTTACTATTAAGTACAGTCACATATTGAATAATTCCCGCTTCTGGATCATGTATGCATTTCAACTCAGTAGCAACCTTTGAATGTATTTGCATCTTTGTTTTAAGCTACTATTTAAATCCTTCAGGTTCATTTCCCATTAGCTTATGTAAGACTTATTGGTCTTACATTACACTTTATTTCTTATACTACATATTTGTTCACCTCACACATTCTTCTATCTATGGGGACAATATTACTGCAAAGTGCTGTTCATAGAAATGCATGACTGAATGCTTTTTGTATCAAAAACTGTTCGACAAGCAACAGTTGAGAAGCATTCTAGTTTAGCTTTTCTTTAGTTTTCTAGATTTTAGTAGGCAGATAGTTTGAAGCTTAACATAAAGTATCATCATGACTACTATAATTCCCTTCAAAAATAACTTTTCTTCTTTGAGTGAGAAGCATGAATTCAGAAGATGTGTAAAATTTGTGTATTTAGAACAGGGGTAGGGACTTCAACTCCCAGAATTCCTGAGCCAGCATTCTGGGAATTGAAGTCCACGAGTCATAAAAGGGCCAAGTTTGAAGACCCCTGATTTAGAATGAAGCTAGGCTTACAAGCACTATTACCTGAATGATAGGATCCTTCTCTGAGCTGCTTTCTTTAGTCCTAGTGACACAATTACATTCCTAAAATGTGGTGATGCTACTATTTCTAGGAAAGGGAATTATGTTTTTATAAAAGGATGAGAAGTTCACACCAACTGCTACATGAACATGAGAAAATCAAAGAACTGACAGACTGATTTGGGAATAGTTCCAGCTGCTGGAGAACACCAGATTTGGAGTCAAATATAGCCATGGCCATATGGTAGCCCTAGCTTACTCAGTGAGAAGCCTTCAAACAGGTTTGTTCTATTTGGACATGAAGTGGTACCAGTACATATCCAATTGCAATAGAGTAGATACACTGATGTTTTGCCTAAAATTGCAGATTAGTCCATTTGTGTCATTATCTTTCTCTCTATAGCTATAACTGGCCAAGTGAGTGTTAATTCCATGAAATGAATTCATTCTATTTAAACACAGTAACAACTATAATTTTCTATGATCAGAATGTCCTGCAGATCACTGTAGAATTACTGTGCTAGGGAGACCTTGCTAGGTAGTAAACACACTCGATATTTATCATCACACCTCTGGACAGTTGATTCCCAATCAACCCCACCGTGTTTACTTACAGTGACTGACAAAGTGCTTGCCACGACTACATCAATGCGATCCACTGAAAAAGGATCAAAGTGTTTGTCTGGACGACGCATGAAGTCATGTTTGAGAAGATAGCCACTTTGCCCATTGAATTCAAAGAGAGCCATGTTCTGCTGCATGGGGACATCTGGGAAAGGAGGTGGCAGAGAAGATTATTTCATCCCAAACAAAATAAATTAGTAAGCTCCACTGAATTGGGCACCTTTCCTTCTATTACAACTAAAGTCAAGAGATGCATGATCATATAGACAAGTTCAGATCTAACACACTATTAGGTATCGGGTGGTTAATAGATGGATGCGAGCTTTATTGGGATTCAACATTATTTACTGCTTATTGTTTTAAATAGTCTCTTTATATATTCTGTTTTGTTTACCACTCAGAGTTCTTTCTAATAGATCAGCAGCTATATAGGTTTGTTAAATAAATACTGTAAATACATTTATGCAAAACAATATTAGACCCAGAAACTTAATACAGCACATGAACCCAAGCCCAAAGAAGTGCGCCACTCACCACTTGTCTGAAAGTTTAATGCCACCATTTGACACCCAACATTCCAGAACATCTGTGGCATATAGTTAGATGAATCAATCCGAGTCCCTTTGGGATAAATTCGGCTCATCTGCCTTTTGTTGTAGCTGAATTTCTTTTAATAGGAGACCATTATTTGAATGAATGCAATGACTATTCTCATTTTATAGGATAAACAGTTGTACACAATAAGATAAATGCTATTCCTGCCCATTTCATTATTGATTTCATTCATATTATGCTGAAATTAATCATTGTGCAGCTGAAAGGGAACAAAGAATATTCTGTGTACAGAGCGATTAAGGGAGACAGAGGCAATGAAGACAGGAGATTATCAGAGATAAACCAACTTTGCTATTGTTTATAATTGTTCTGCACACATAAAATAGTAGCAAGAGTTTTTCTGGGGCAGTCCCAATAGATATTGATGCAAAAATCATAACCTCTAGGTAGAGTGATTAATAGTATACATCTTTTAAACGAATTCTTAATATCTAATATTATTAAAACACTACAGCTAGCTAATAACAATCTCTGTTACAATAATAAAAACAACAAATATACTCTATAGGTAATTGCACATTATGTCCGACACCATGGAATGTGCAACTATTATCCCAATTTCATTTGTACAGAGAAATTCTCTTTGGGTATATATGTATAAATTGGAATGAGCTCCTATATACAGATATAAAACATAACTAATCACTAAGGATGCCTTTAAAAAGGATACTCTACAAACTGGATGGGTGACCTGGTCAACAACTCATAAGCCTTTAATTCAGTGAAGGAGGAAACGACATAACTGTGGTTTTTCTCTGGAAAAGTAAGAAAGAAAGTATAGAACATATTTTTTTGTTTTCAAATCCAACCCTTCTTCAATTTAATTTCCAATCCTTGTTATCATTTCTAAATAAAAATGCTGGTTGCACATGCTGCTTCACATAAAAAATAAAAGAAGACACAGAAAAAGTTGGGGTCCAGGTGGAAATTCATTTTAGGATTCCTTCGAGCATGAAATTGTATCCAGGGAGATTACTTATGGCAACAAATTTGTAGATAACATAACCTCTGCAGATAATATGGGAGGAACCAGTCACTGCCTAATTAAGGTTGCTATTAAACTGTGTTTCATGGGGCGAAGGATAGCATTTGTGTTGCCGCAAATTCTACTTGTCACATGCTATAGAACCTTCATGAAATAGTTGTACAATAAGCTTCCACTTATGTGCAATGAAGCCATTTTTATTGTGTCTAGGAACATATTTAAAAATAGAATAGAAACTATAGATTAACTTTGAAGGCTGGGACCCGCAAGATATCCAAACTTTAACTCCTAACATTTCCAACCAACGTTATTTTGAAAGTCAAAATCCAGCCTATCAGTTGTTCTAAATTCAGGAAGGAGGTCAGAAAAAATTACTGTATTTTTCTGTGTATAAGACGCACCATTGTATAAGACTTTCTGGCATGCGAGTTCCAAGCTTACAGCAAACAAAATCAGCGCTGGGAGCAACCGCCTCCCAGTGCTCTGAATAGATGCCTCCCGGACGGCCCCACCCCCCACCCCCCTAACTAGCATCCTGCATGATGAGCATGCATAGTCAGTTCACAGCAGCAGCCTTCCGACCCTGGTAAACAAACCGGTGTGAGCACCGGCATGACAGCAAGGCAAGGGAAGCAAAGGCAGGTTTTAAACTTCCCACCGTTTCTCCATGCCGATCGGCTGTTCGGCGGTGCATCGAATAGCTGAGCCGGCAAATCTGGAAGTTCGGCCAGCCGCTATTATTGAGCAGGACGGCCTCGCAGCTGCATTCCACAGGGTCCCCAGCCAGCATACAGGTATGAGGGAGGGAAAGGGCTGTCGCTGCCATCCATGCTGCTGGTCCCATCCACTGCCTCCGGATGCCACCATCCAATAATCTTGCCCCCTCCCCCTCCCATTAGTGGCAAGTCCACAGGGGCTTGACACCTGCACCAGGCAGCATGGCAGCGGCATGTAAAGAACCCACACAGGCATGCTCTGGGCTGCGGAGGTTACCATTATTTTTTCGTGTATAAGACACTGCACTTGTATAAGAGGCACCTGATTTTTGAACAGGGTGTTTGCAGGAAAAAATAGCGTCTTATACACGGAAAAATATAGTAGCTCTTTTAAAGGTACTGCAACTTGTGACTAGAATGTAGAATCGGCTCAGTTTTCCCATTGCTAAAATTTGCACCAATTGAATATATTTTATAGGGAATAATTTTTTGAATTCTTTGTCTCAATTTCATTATTATTTATTATCTATCCTTTAAGCATAAAATGCGATAAAAGTCTGCAATTTCATTGGGTTTTCATCAGTTTCATAAATTCTTATTCAGTGTTTGGCCCAAATCAGAGAATGTTTTTGATAAACTTGGGCAAATGTGATGAAAATATAGATAATGACACAAGGTTTCAGATATACAGTTTTCTCCCTGTTAATTCTCGATGAATCAGTGATGCATAATAAGTCCACAAGTAGGTAAAGCTCCTTGGGTTACATGCTTCTGAAGAAGAAACCACAAATGATAAATAAGTATTGTGCATCAACAAACCCAAACCTTGTTCCAATTTCTGCCTTGGAATGTGGCCTCACCTGGCCCATAAGATGCTGTAATCCTAGTATCCTCTAGAAGATGGATGGCAAATGTGGCTTGAGGGCTAGATACACTTTTAGATTATCTCAGCTGGCTTTCAGACTAATGTATAAAGCCGTTATAATTAATTTAGACCCTGTCCTAGATTCTTCATGGAGATTCACATGAAGACACAGATTAGGCTCTATCAGGAAGGTTTTTAAAATTTTGGACCTGGAAAAACTATACGTAAGTAATAAGTATTCGTTCAATTGAATGAATGCTGTATTCAGCTGCTGAATACAGCTGAAAGATGCTGTATTTAATTTTTCACCGTTTAGAAGCAGGGTCATCTTCTGCTCACTTAGACAATCACTGAAACATACAATTCATCTAGTGGTGCAACAACTTTTCCTTGACTGATACCACCCAGTATCATACTGCTACTAGAAGTAGGGCTCCCCCCCCTCCATATATAGGTCCTAAACCACATAGAACAATGTTAAAGAATGACATTTACACAGTTAATAGATACATAGTTTTCAGTGCAAATATAAGTGAGGTTTGCTTTAACCATAGAAAAACATTTTCCTTAACAGGAGAAAACAAATCGTTCTTACGTGCTGAAATTTCAAAACTTTCAAATTTGATGGGTTGAATGTAATTCACCAGACTGGACATTTCTTCATAAGCAGTCACTTCCAGACCTGCAGTTCCCTAAACAGAATTTCGAGGGTTACAGAGCAAATTGTGATGCAAACTCCAGTGATGTGCAAAATAAGTATCAGAAAGGACTAAGCAGAAGTCAGAAGAACAATCAAGGGCGACTGGTGCCTTCCTCTTTGAATATTATATTATATGCTCTGCAGATCTGAGTCTTTCAACTAACTGCATCTATTTACATAGTCTTCTGGGAGTTGTAGTTCAAACCTTTTAGGGAAAACTGTTCTTGTAAAATTAAGACTACAATATGCAAAGAGGGATAGGCCCTACTCAAGATTCTGCCTCTGCCTTAAGATTAGGATTAGAATATGCAAAAGAGGGATAAGCCTAGCCCTATTCATGATTCTGCCTTTAGACAGTTAATGGGGATTGATTTTCTCTTGCCCTTTCCTAGCTGATTGGGCAAGGATAGCTGATTGGTATTACTGACACACCAGAGAGGGCAGAATTTAGCAGCTGTGTGGTAAAACAACAGAGCTAAAGACAATGCATACTTTTCAGACCTCACCAGTTGGTTTTCCCATGGCTGTGTCAGTGTTATGTCTTCCAGACTTCCAAGGAATTTCATTTATTTATTAGTTAAAAAAAATAGCCAACATTGTCATTATTAAAATAATTCCAAAAGTCATGCTCTGTCAGAATTCAGGAAAGACACAACACATTTGAAGGGCTAATCTTTTATGATAGGACAGCTGACACCAATGGATAAATCTTAGCCATTTCAGTGAACTATTCTGTTACGTTTCTAGAGAGAATCATACAAAGGATGAAGGTGAAAATTAATAACATCATCGACTTTTCAGAAAGAATAGCTGACCAAGATAAAATAATCTCTGCAAAATATAACAATACTGTAATCACAATATATGATAAAGTATACCAATACATGTAATCATGAGCCTAGCAAAAAGATTAGGGGTGAAATGATAGCAGTGTTCCAATATCTCAGGGGCTGCCACAAAGAAAAGGGTGTCAACCTATTTTCCAAAGCACAGAAGGCAAGATAAGAAACAATGAATGGAAACTAATCAATAAGAGAAGCAACCTAGAACTAAGGAGAAATTTCCTAACAATGAAAACAATTAACCAGTGGAATGGCTTGCCTCCAGAAATTGTGGGTGCTCCATAACTGGAGACTTTTAAGAAGAGTCTGGACAGCCACTTGTCTGGAATGGTATAGGGCAGGGGTAGGCAACCTTGGCTCTTTTATGACTTGTGGACTTCAACTCCCAGAATTCCTGAGCCAGCCATGCTGGCTCAGGAATTCTGGGAGTTGAAGTCCACGAGTCATAAAAGAGTCAAGGTTGCCTACCCTGGGTATAGGGTCTCCTGCTTGAGTAGGGGGTTGGACTACTAGAAGACCTCCAAGGTCCCTTCCAATTCTGTTTTTCTGTTAAAAGATGCCTAGAGCATTCAGCTTAGCAGAAAATTACAGTTTAATTATTTCATAAAAAAGGAAGTTTTTCTACTTTTTATGAGATCCTCTGATCATCTTTCATTAAGTGAAGGAAAGTATGAGATCCAAACTATTTCACCTGGTTAAAGGCAGGACAATATCCCATGAATATATATGACTGTACAAGAGATCATTAAGCTAAGGCCTTGGAAGCTAAGCTAAAGTCTTGAATAATTACCGTATACTTAGGTATATGGTAATTGTCTATGTGGTAATACACAAAATCATAAATCATACCTCATCAGACTGTAGCTTTTTAATCTCTTCCTCATTTAGGTTTTCCAAATTTCTCTCTCCTTCAGGAACTTCTTCATCCTCCTCAATTGGTTTGACTGACAATTTGAAAGAAAAATCGGTATGCTTATGAAAGTTCGCATCTAATCTGTAATTCCTCCAGACCGACATTTCCCCATCCAACTTCCATTCTGGAGCTTTAGAGGCTCACTCATCCAGGCACAGATTACAGACCAGTATGAACTACAACATACTAATAGTCAGTGGAGGCAGGTCATAAAAATGTTAACTAAAAGCAAATTAAGAAGGTTAGTTTGGATATATACCACTGTAACTCCTTTATCTTATAGGGATCTGTAATATATAAGAAAATAATTAGCAGTGGTTACTGAGCCCCTATACATTTTTAATTTACATGGGTTTTTTGGGGACATGAATTCAGATTTTATTTCTTTAGCAACAAATGCAAAAATAGATGTTGCTCTTTGAAATGTAAGTTCACTGGATGACTTTGAGACAGTTGCTATCTCTCAATCCAATTTACCCAGCAAAATCATTATTGTGGGGGGAAATGAGAAGAAAGTGTTAAGAATATCTTGAAGCCTCACATTATCTTTATATAGTTCTATCCTTAGTCTTTCATTTTGCTAAAGAGAGTCAGCTCTGTTCTCTATTATACATTCTCTAAGACTCCCATAACACCTATTTTTTATGCAGTCATGATGCTGTTTATGTCGTCTCTTAGATAATCCTGAATCACTACACGTAGCCCTTCATTTATAACTGCAATTGAGCCCAAGATTTCTGTTGCTAAGCAAGGCAGTTGTTAAATGAGTTTTGCCCCATTTTCAATTTTTTTTGCCATGATTGTTAAGCGAATCACTACAGTTGTTAAGCAAATCATGTGGTCGTTAAGTGAATCTGGCTTCCCCCATTGATTTTGCTTGTCAGAAGCCTGCTGGGTCAGTTACAAATGGTGATCACATGACCGTGGGACAGTGCAACTGTTATAAATACATGCCAGTTGCCAAGTGTCTGAATTTTGATCACGTGACCATGGAGATGCTGCGATGGTTGTAAGTATGAAAACCGGTTAAAAGACACTTTTTTCAGTGCTGTTGTAACTTCAGATGGTCACTAAACAAACAGTTGTAAGTAGAGGACAACCTGTATTCCAGGGTAAAAAATACCCCAAAGGCCAGTCTTATTTTTTGTCATAATCTTCCTTAACCTGAGTGTTTTCAGTTGTTTGGGGATGACAATTCTCACAATTCCTGGGCAAGTATTTCCCCCATGTTGTCTTGAAATTCTGGAAATTATAGTCGTAATACATAGTTAGAGGAAGCCAAGTTTGGAAAGGCTGCTATATGATATGATACCTGTGCTATCCTTTTCTATAGGTAGGGGTTGGTCTGTGACTTCATCCTCCAAACTCTTCCTCTTCTTCAGAATATCTTGGTTCTCCCCAGGCATGAATTGGTTCTTCTTGTTCTTAATCAAGATCTTCCCCATGAGATCCTGAGGACTTGGAAGTGGAACTCCTGGTTTTAGCTACCAAAGAAAAAAACAAAGAAATAGACCAAGAAATAGACCGAGACCGCCTGCTGCCGCAGATTCCTTCCCACAGACCGGTACGCTCCCACAGAGTGGGTCTCCTCAGGGTGCCGTCGGCCAAGCAGTGTCGGCTGGCGACCCCCAGGGGGAGGGCCTTCTCTGTGGGTGCCCCTACCCTCTGGAATGAACTACCCCCCGAGATCCGGATAATTCCGGATCTCCTTACCTTCCGTCGCNAGCAAGCGGACCTGACCTAGGGTGGATTTTATATTGGGTTTTAAATATTCGGAAGACGCAACATTAAAATTCGGTTTAATTCGGTTTTAAGGGGGGGATTGTATATATGTTCTGGTTTTAAATATGTTGTGCGCCGCCCTGAGTCCCTGTCGGGAGAAGGGCGGCATATAAATTAAATTAAATAAATAAATAAATAAATCATCGTCACAGTAACACAGAACGCAGATGGTCTGGACAAGTGAATCCGAATGACTACTTAACTATTTAATTTTCTTATTCACTTACTGGATATTTTTCCAGGGGTTCAGTCAGTAACATGTCTCCAAAGATGGTCCTGCAGTACTCAGCCATCTTTGCCTGCTGCTTAGGCCTAAAAGAAAGTACAAGAAAGGAGTAAATTATGAAAAAAAAACCTGAGTTTAGCATCACCTGTTTTACTCCCTATTTATATCCTAGCAGGTGTAAGACTGATCTAAATTTACTACCCCAGAAAATGTTTGGTTTTGTTCTAAACCTTGATCTGCATCTCCTCTCTACCATATCCCATGCTTGCTATTGCATGATAATTGTTTTAAAAATGCCCTTGAAAATTATTTAGAGTTAATTTAAGTTTTTTTCTCTCTCTTTCTTAATTATTACATAATTTGACTACCACACTGCTGCATTCCACATTTATTCAGATCGAATACACTTCCCAGGTCCATTTTAATAGATACATTTTCTAGGAAATCTAGAAATAATTGTTTCAATCTTTATGGAGGGAAGATTGGATGAGAATTTCCTTTTACTTATAAATAAGTTTTGAAAAGGAAAAGGTAGGTGTCAATTTTTACCATCTCTTGATTGTGAATCCTGCTTAGCCTTTCATGAGTTGTCTGAGCACCAAATTGAAAAAACAACTTCCAGAGAAAACCCACAGCTGGAGGAAATATGTTTATATGTTTATTGGCTGAAAACTAGCATGGCACATGCATATACAATTTCTTTCTCATGTAATTGACTGGGATTCTGCATGGCGATTGTTTTTTTTTCCTTTAAAGAGTAGGCCACAGTTAATTTTGATTTGCTAGAAGATTGCTAATAATATTGCAGCAAGAATTAATTTATCCTGACTGACTGAATGCCCTCCTCCCCACTTCCAGTTTATCAAAACACAGATTCAATCTTTTCCCACTGAGTAAGATCCTAATACTTACAAATCCACATGGTTCTCAAAAGACAGGATTACGGGGTAGGGAGAGGTTTTAAAAGCGCTTTCTGCAATAGCCTCAACTGCATCCTGTATGAGACAAAGAGAGAGAAGGAGAGTGAAGGAGAGATCGGCTTTTCATGAATGTAATTGAATGTTTGCATAGGTAGAAGAAACCTACATCAGTGGTGGCGAACCTAGGCCACGGGTGCCAGAGGCGGCACTCAGAGCCCTCTCTGTGGGCACGCGCACTATCGCCCCAGTCCTAGGCCTTCAGCTGGGTTTTATAAAACCTTTTTGCTTTAGGCCTCCGCTGCCATGTGCAAAAAAAAAAAGGTTCAATCAATCAGTCAATTTCAACTTCTCGCGGAAAAAAAAGATCTTGCAAAGTTGGAATTGATTGATTGAACTTTTTAGTCCCACCCAGTCTGCCGTTACCACCGCAGCCACGCCCACCCAATGGGCCACACCCACCCGGCACCCGACGATGCATGTGGGTTTTGGGTTGCAGTTTGGGCACTCGGTCTCTAAAAGGTTCGCCATCACTGGCCTATAACTTTAGATTGTCTTTTGCAGAACAACTTTTAATTGAACAAGCAGTTGATCATGGATTGGGGAGGGGAAGACTGATCCTGCCTCTTGATCTGATCTGATCCCAAAGGAAACTGATGTAGGTTCAAATCAGGAGAGAGCCACCTCTTTCCACCCACAAGTTATTTTGGAGAGGAAAGCTAAGAAGGAAGAAAGAAGAGAGGGGAATGTCCAAATGTTATATAAGCTATAATGAAAAGTACATGCTGTGCTAACACTCTGTAATTCCTTTTCAAGTTTCATTGTTGTGGTGCAGAGCAATCATCCCCTATAATTATAGCTCCACTCAAGCACAATAGCTTCTATTTGCTCTGTAGATTGCGTGGTGTTGTGTCATGGTAATTGTGAGGTCATAAGATGGAGAATATAAATTGTTAACAACAAAAACTACTACCAGGGTAATCATTTAAAGGGACCTTTTATTCTTTTCCCTGCTGCTTAAATTACAGCTGAAGGTGGGAACCTACTGAGTGACTTTCTTTCTGAATTTTTGGGACAAAAGAAAATATTTAAATACTTGAAAGAGTAGTAAGAAAGAATAGGATTCTGATTATTTAAATATATAAGTCTATCGTTTATTATGCATGCATCACTGATGCAATATATAGGTCTTAAGCACCTATAATTGAATTGCTATGTCTTATGTGACTTGATTACAGTAATGTCAAAGTATTGCTGTGCAGAACACAGAAAGTAACGGAAAAGTTTAAGTTCAAACTCATTTAGGCAAACAAAATATGAACTAATGAAATGAAATCTTTATTATGGTCAAAAACCAGCAAAATATATATTTAGAATAGAGGTACCTGGTTTTGTAGAAGTAAATCAGAGCATATATATAAGGTTCTTGGTGTTGTAATTGATGACATGCTAAACACAAATCATCTTGGGTTTGTGTTTAGTGTCATCTACTCCCCAATTCTGGGTACAATGCCTGTGTTCCAGATTTTTAAGATCAGTATAGCTAAGTGTAAATTGCTCCAGAGGAAGACAACAAAGGAATATGGAAAACAAGTCCTATGAGGAAAAGTTTAACAGACATGGAGCTTTTATAACCTTAAGATAAGAAGCATGTGCTATTTTTGTATGCTTCCCTCAAAGATAACTGGATCCTCAGAAGCTCCAGAGGCCCTGGATGCTGCTGCTCAAAAATCTCTTGCATCCACTTGGATTCCAACTGACCAAGTCTAAGAAAGTTGACTGACATTTTGTCTAGTCTTATTGTCTGCAAAGCATTTGATACTGCAGTTCCTGAGGAAACAGGATCCTTAGTTTTATCAACCATGCCACCAATTTAGATCCATGACCTTCGTAGGTGATTAAAATTTCTGTGGTTGGGTTCACATGGTTGCAAATATTTTTACATAAATAAATTGTTCTGCCTGCCATGAAAGAGATGGTGGTAGACTCCTTCCTAAAAATGCCATATCTGGATCCAACACTTCTGGACAACTTTTGCCCTATCCTTTTTTGGGGAAAGTTGTTGAGGAAGTGACTGGACTAGAACTTCAGAAAGCCCTGAACTAGATTATCTGGATCTTTTCTAGTTGGGTTTCAGGCTACAAAATACTACGGAGACATAGTGTTAAGGTTGTTTTCCTCCTTTCTCTGAAGCTGGTTCCAGTTGGTATAAGTAGGAAAGAGGAGAGGCCAACCCTTCAGCCCCCTTAGCTGTGGAATGCCTCAGGGTTGGAAACTCCTGTCTTTCCTCTTTAACAACTACATGAAACCACTGAAAGAGGTCATCCTCCAACGTGGAGTGTAGTTACACCAGTATGCTGTTGATACCAGTTGTACATCTTGATCCTGAGCTAAATAATGACATCAAGATCATATCCCAATGCCTGGAGGATGTGAAAATCTGGATGGGGAAAACAGTTACATTTAATTCTAGCAAGACGGAGTGGCTGTGGGTGGAAAGTTATCCTGGTATAAGGATTTTCTATCTTTAATTTGGGGTGGGGTAGCACGTTGTCAGATGGAACTATATGGGCTCAAAGAGAACAGAAAAAAATCACCAGCAAATGCATACCTTAAACAGTATTTCAGTTGTCATAGTGTACCCGTGGGTGATGATAGGTTCCTCATCTGGAGGACGTCCCTTCCAGCAATCAAGTTCCACACAACGACAACCGGCCAAGAGAGTTTGGCGATACATTTCAGGAGATGAGATTCCAGAAAACTGTCCAGCTGTTAAAAAGAAAAGAAAAGAAAAAGAGGTGTGTATATAAAATATTAATAGAACCATAAAACAATAACTGTTAAAATTACAAATAAGAAATGATTAAAAGATAGGGAGGGCGACAATTGGAAAGTGGGTACCAGAGTGTATAAGTGTGAGTATGAGTGAGTGTGAAGGTGTAAAGTTGCTCTGTGTGGGTATGATTAATGTAGCAGACAAGAGGGAAAATGATTGTTCAGCAAGCAAATACGTTAGGTGATGTATATGTTATAAGCACCCAATAGGCTTACAGGCATCTGCCCTATGTTGTGGCAGATTGTGATTCATTTTGCCTATTTTCTTTGATTATCAATGGCTAGATCTTGGTTGATTATCTTTCATAGCACCTGTTACCTAATCTTTTTTGAACTGGCAGAACCAGTAAATGTGGGGAATTGTAATCCTAAACACATATAAAAGTTGACCACTTGGAGAAAATTATCCTGAGAAAATGAGTGTGTCTTGGTAGATGTCACCATACCTGTTAGATAAGTGTTGTGGGATGAGCTGATGAAATAGTGGGAGAGTGGATGGTTCATATCTTGGTACAGCAACAGTTTGTCTTGAGATACGATGCTGTTTTCAGGACCACACAGGAACCAAACCATTCCTTCAGGAGACAGTTGTCCTGCAGGAGCAAATAATCATATTGTGACTGAGAGTGGAATTCAAGGCCTTGAAGGAGCTGACTGTGAATCAATGATTCCTTGCTGCCCTCCAAAAGTTTTGGATTTCTATTCCCATTAGCTCCAGCCAGCATGGCCAATGACAAGGAATTGTGGGTGTTAGAGTATAAAACTTCTGGAGGAAACTAAGTTGCCTGTTTCTACGTTGGATGCTCAACCGCAGTGCTGGTGCTTTATTCTGACTTAAAACTAAAGGCAGTAGATGTATGATTGTTGTGAGCCATGATTATTTCATAATTTGTATTCCTAATTCCATTCAATCTGCTGGAGATTCCTTATTTAGCTATCTTTACTCACTTCCCATTTGGACTGCTGCCATGTGCTCTACATGGGGATGCTCTTGAAGATTACCCAGAAGCTTCAACTGGTCTAGAATGTGGCAGCATATGCAGTCATGGGTGCCCCTAAGTTTAGCCATGTAACAACTCTGTTATGCAAACCACATTGGCTCCTGGTTTCCTTTCGGGTACAATTCAAGGTGCTGATTATTTCTTTTAAAGCCCTATATGCCATCGGGCTAGGTGGACTGCCTCTCCATAAGAACATCTACCTGTTCTACCATATCACATAAGGTGGACATGCTCCTAGTCCCTTGCCTTAAACATTCCCATTTTATGGGATCTAAGAAGCTGGCCTTTTCTGTGGCAGCCCCTGCTCTATGGAACCCCTTCTCCTTGAGCTTTGGCAGACAATTACCCTTCTACCCTTAAAACCTGGCTTTCCTCCCAAGTGCTGGGATAGGATGAGTTGGATGAGAGGATTTAATAATGCACTGAATGCAGAACTTAACTTTGATGCCAGGTTTTAATGTTTATGATTTTAATAGATATATACCGTATTTTATGATACTTTACTATTGGTATTATTTTAATTGTTGGTTGTGAGCCACCCAGCATTTGACATAAGATGGGTGACTATAACGTTTTAAATGAACGAATGAATAAAATGTGAAAAACCCTTATTCCTTTTACCACTTTCATTTTCTTCTATGTCCATTTCCCCCCAGAAGCCATTCTTGACACTACCCAAACAAATATTACCAAATACTTTTTTAGAGAACATCATAAACATTATTAATTACTCTAAGATTCTTTTTTTTATAAAAAAAAAGTATAGAAGTAGTTCTCATTTAGTGGCCACAATTAGGACTGGAAACTTAGTCATTAAGTGAAATGGTTGCTAAGAGAAAACATGAAAGCATGAGTGTGCTTATGATCTTATTTCAGCTTTCCTTCCATTTACAGACTTGGGAAATTTTAAATGCAAAGATTGGTTGTAAAGTTATTTTTTCATCACAATCATAATTATGAATAGTCACTAGATGTGGCAATTGTTAAATGAGGACTACCTGTATTATTATTATTTGTTTCCATATTCATGGGTTTACATATCGTAATGGAAGTGATCTTTATCTTGATAATGATCATTGTTTGTTTATTGCTGATTACAGATTTTAAACATTCTTGAGGCAAATTAATTAAGAATACAAGGAAAATATAAATAACATGAATAAAATCTTTAATCAAGAAATATATGTACACTAAGTAAATATGGAAATAATTTCTCTTTTTTAGCAATTGTGATTTACAACCTCATCTGATCTATTGACTATTCATTTTTGTTGGATGACAAAAAGAGAAGAAGGCTATAAGGAAGCATTCCACAATATTAGGAATGCCGTATATTTTTTTCTGGGAGAAGAGGACTATTGCTCAAGGGAAGGCCAACTGGTATATAATGGCATACCCTGAAGTATTCACAAAACTCTTAGAAATCCTGAAGTATTCATAAGATTCTCAGAGACCTTGAAGAATTCACAAGACTCTCAACACTGTCCTGTTCCTTAATAAGTCTTCCAGATATTCTGTTGATATTTAGGAGAAAGTTCATTACTAAACTGCCAAATAGCCCTCTGTGTGTGTAGTGGGTATATGTGTATAGATAGTCAAACAAGCACACATGAATATATTCACTACTGCTTTATGCTTTCTACCCTATTTACAGTCACATAAGAATTGGACAGTGTGTAGCACTCTATTCTCTCTATAGGCTTGGGATCATGACAAAACCTCATTCTAATGGAAAAGACTCACCTCTTTGAATATTCATCCCACTGGGCTCATATTTTTCTATGAGGCCCTGCACTCTATCTGGTTTGGCAGGAGGGAAAAGTGTGTCATTGAGTTGGGAATTTCGCTGTTTCTTGTTGATAAATTTTGTCAAGTGATCTTTCGTCATGTATGGCTTGGCTTTTGAATGGCTAAGGAGAAACAATGAAGAAGAGTATCTTTAGGTGTCCCTGGAAAATCCCTCCCCCCCTTAGCAGCAAGGCAACTTTCTTTCTTTTCTTGTCTTTTAGTATTGAACAAGCTTGTTCTATCTTATCTTTTCCTGCACTGCAGATTTAGATTCAGCACTATAAGGCATGAAACAATTGGTGCAAAATAAAGCTCAATCTAAAATGCTTTCTTTATCAACCTGAAACTTTCTTCAACTTGTGCATACTGGACAACTAAGAAATGAACAACTAACACCCATAAAGAATTCCCTTTGTAGAGAAAATGTTATGTAATAGAGATACTAGCAATAGCAACAGCACTCAGACTTATATACTGCCCTACAGTGTTTTACAGCACTCTCTGGATGGTTTATAATGTCAGCATATTGCCCCCTACAATCTGGGTCCTGATTTTACCAACTTTGGAAGGATGGAAGGCTGAAACAACCTTGAGCCCCATTAGGATCAAATTCCAGACAGTGGGCAGAATTAGCCTGAAATACTGTATTCTAACTACTGCACCACCATGGCTCCTACTAAGTCATCCTTCCCAATTTGCTCTTTCTGAATATGTTGATCTACAGTTCTCATCATCAAGCATAGCCAACAGGATGGGATCTGGAGGAGGAGTACTGTAACATATTATATCTGAAAGGCATTAGATTGGGATCCGTTTATCTCAATAGTCTCTGACAGGTAATGTGTGACTGACATTAACAAACCCCTGTGATGAAATGGAAATAATCTTTCCATCCAGAAAAAAATGCTGGTTGACACAGAATGCAAATTCAGAATCCCAAAAGACTAATATGAATCCAACCAAATACAAAGCACAAAAAATGCTGAAGGATGAGAACTGTGCTAGATTTCATTGGATTCACCCAGACCCCCTTTACCTACATAGTATCTCTTACGCCATGAAAACTTACTGTGAGGTAAATATTTCATCAATATCGGGCCGAGGACAGAGGTTCATCAGGAATGTTTTATACACTGTTTCAGGGAAGTCCTCTGGGTTGATGCCATCATTCTGGAAATGAAAGAGCAGCTCATGATAATATTTAACAATATATTCTGAGTTATAATATGAATTCTTTCTCCTGTGCCTAAATATGACAAAAGTTTGTTTTTGTCATAAAGAAAAGCTGCATGTGAAATAGAAAAATACATTTAGCAAGAATTTGTTTTCCCTTCAGAATATAACTTTTTTCACACAATGGATGATGGAGCTATAGTAGAGTGCAGTCATTTATGGGCCCCTCCACCTGTAGTGTTTTTCAAAGTGCCATGCTGTTGTGGTTCTGTTATCTCAATGTGTGGTTGCAGCCCTTCTCAAACTGAGATGATTAGCTTATGCTTTGTTTCTGGCACAGCAGGAAATACTGCAAATGGGAAGCAAATTGTTTTCCATCAGTGAGAATTTGCAGTTTATCCTGGTTGCTTGGCTCATCCACCTCTTCCCACACCTGAGCTTATGTGAAGTACTGAGCATTGCAAGAATGGCAGTAATGGCAACACTTGTGGAATAGAGCAAAGACACTTCTGAAGGTTTAGAGGGTAAAGATGGTGGCTGCTTGCAAGGGCATTACATACAGTATAACCAGACTTTTGTAACCTGGTGTTTTCTAAAAATTTGGGGATTCCCAAAATTATTAGCCATAATTCAAGAATTTGTGATGATGCAGTCCAAGACAACTAAGTTGGGGAAGATTACAAAACCAAAATGATTACACAGTGAAAAATCTTATGACTATAACTGTGCTTATGATTTTACACAGGGCAATATGTACTAACTATGATGGCAAACACCCGATAGAGATGCTGCAAAGGTCGTAACTGTGGGCATTGGTTGCAAAGTTAGTTTTTTTTATCACAGCCATTAGCTGTGAATTGTTGTTGTCCAAGGCAGTTGCTGAACAAGGATTACCTTTACAATTATTTCTCTAGGATATTTGCAGATTGGCAATTGTTTCCAATTTGCTATTTGTTTAAATGTTCAACAGTCTTCCCCTCTTTACCTTTTTTTATGCAGGATTGTATCTAACTCCTTATTCTTGATACAAACCAATAGGAATACATTTGCCAAAAATAATTTTATTCAGGTATTACGCCTAAATAAAATATGCACATTCACTGAGGTCCCAATGATCCCATACAGATTGCTTCTACCCATTTAGTTCCTGACTTGTCAGACAAAGCTGCGTAGAATACTTTTTTCAGAGGTGGCTGCTCAACTTAGCAAATTTTGGGCTGAAAGAGCAAAACCATTTGCTCAAGAGCTGTGATGAACAGTTCATGGAAATCTGTGTTTATTATGTAATTTACATACCTTATCCACAATTAAATTCCAATTCAGTTGATGAGTTCTGGAGTTTATACATGTAAGGAAAAAAAATAATTACTGACCTTTCCCTTTGGAAGATGGCAGGCAGTTAATGCTGCTTCTACCCTTTTTCTGTCCGCAGGAAACATTTGAAAAATACTGAAAAAGAAAGGGATAATAAATTAAAGAGAGACAGGGCCACTAGTGGAAGATGCAGTATTCTAGTGGGAAGACTGCCCGTAAGGAATAACCATTATAATAATAAAATAAACAAAACTCTACCTGAAGGAGAATATTATGTCAGAATAGAGTTCAACCTTCAGTGTCTAAGTTTTATATTAGGCAGAGCAGTTACATTCCTAAAGTGAACAGAGCTGAAGTTGTTTCTGGAGTTGAATGGGGTTTTTATTTGAAAGGATGGATTTCTGAAATATCCAACACATATTTTTTTTACAAAGATATCAAGAAATCAAACTTTAGTTTTTCAGTGACGTTCTCTCAAATGTTGCAGATATGATTTTGGATAATTCCAGGGGCCACAAAACCAACATATGAGGCAGCAGATGGCATATGTGCTATAAGATGCCACTGAGATTTAACACATCACAATAAAAGCACTGAATAGAAAACATAAGGAAACTCTTTCACAATTATATTTCCAGGAAGAAGGAATATCCCCTATGAACTATGCCACATCTTAGCTCTGACTTACTTTGACCTGCTTTAATCTGTAAACCATAGGGCGGAAGAAGGAGGTTTGTTGAGGAATCAGCCTTTTCAGTGGAAATAGAAAGAGCATGAGCGCATACATAATCACTCATTCTTCTTAGAGCAAAGGTACAAGGATACGGCCTACTCTTTGCATAAGGACCAAGGAAGTAGTGCATTTAAATATCTATCACAAATATGATACATCAATGATGCTTTGTTGTCAGTGACAGTGTATATATGTTTGTGATCAAATTGCTCCCCCTGTGCAACAGACCACTACATTCCATTGTATTTTGTGGGATTGTGCCATTCCAGCTGAAAAATGCTGAATAAATATATGCTGGGAATAGAGATTAGCTGGTTACATCTATGCCCAAAGCCCAATAGGAGCCTATGCTATTGCCATGACCCAGGGCCATCTCAGATCTGAGTGTATCGTTGACCAAAGCGTTATGAACACCATACTCACTTCTTGACAGGAATTTTCCCCTCAGCGTTCAGCTGCAGCTTCAGTTTCAGCAGACTGCAGGAAAGGGCAGAACAGATACATTTTCATTAGTTTGATATCTACAAAGTTATGGGACAAAATAAGAATGAAGGAAAGTAGCCATAGTAGGGAAAAATATTGAGGTAAGCCTGGTTTGATTCCCTCAGGAACTGGAACCTGGAGCCTGTGTGAGTAGAATCAAGCCTGTTAAAAGTATCCAAAATAGAGGCTTTAAGATCCAAAAAGGCAAATAAGGTTATATGCTGCAGTATCAAGCCTGGATCTCTAGGTTTTCATAGGGGGGATGCAAAGAGAAGGAAGGGGGATAGTTTAGGGAAAGAGAACAGAGACGAGCAAAGAAATAAAGAGGAAGTCCCTTGTTTCCTTCTCCCAAATGGTCAATAAAATGAATTTCAATGAGTTGATGCTATTTTACCAGTAGGACTGCATTTTCATCAGCTACCCTATGAAGAGAATGTCTTACTCATATTTGGCTGTTGTTGTTATTGTTGTTGTTATTTGAAGAAGGGGGAAGATTAAGTACCTTCCTCCTAAGACTACATAACACTCAAGTGTTTTTAAATGACCAGCTTTCAGCTTCATTCAACCACCAAACCATACTACTAGGACTGTCAAAAAATACTTGGAAATACAAGCTTGGTGAATAACTACTCACATTTTCTCCAGGAAAGTGTAGCGGGAAGCATTATATATAAAGGGGTTCTTAACGAAGTCCATGATATCATCTGCCCAGTTCTGAGAAATGAAGCCAAGGATACAAGCTGAAAGACCAAAACTTGTGAAGTGTAACATCTACATTTCAGTGCATGAGTGGCTGTGCCAGGCAGTATTTCCACATGGAATAAATGCTCATTTTCCATTATTGCTATCCTTTCTAAGACATGAGTCTATTCTATGCCTCATTTTGAATCATTGACATTTACTTTCTATGTATTTAAACTAAATGGAAACATATTTCTCCTATCTAAAATGGATGATCACATAGATACTCAGACTTAGGCATTTGTCAAAATAAATAGAAGGTGAAAAGATATAAAGTTTGCTTGAAGACAGTTCAGTCCAATGTACTTGGTTCTTCCTGCCATCTTTTGTTTACATCACAGTTCTATGAGGTGGGTTTGGCTAAAACATCATGAGTGTTTCAAGGCCAGGAAGGGAACTCATAACTGGGTGGGGGGTTGAATATGAAAGTAATCAGCCTAACATAATCACTATATCACACTGATATTATGTTTATTTAGCTTTTAAAACAATCACATATTGCTCCATTTTTGTCCATGGCTATATTCGGTGAAATACTTTAGGGAGGAAATGCACATATAAAAAAACACCCTGTAAATCTAATGTCCAAGCTGGTTTAAAACCAGTGCCTGTCATCTCTAATGTCAGCACTTTAAACAGAATGTCAACTGCTTGTCTTACATACTATATGATACTGTGTGGATATTTTGGTTAGCTTTTGCTTCCATTAACGTCTTAAACTTTATTTTATTTTCTAATACCTTTCCAACATTTTCTTTATAAGAAACAAAATTGTGAAATGTGAGGTCCACCATATCAGGACCAGAAACCACAGTCAATATCTTGTGAAGAAAGTCGTTGTTTGGAAAATCCAACTTGAAAACGTCTCGGAGCTTGTGATTCTGCAAAGGGTAGACATAGAAATTAATAAATAAAAGCACATTAAGAAGGAAAACTGAAAGGAGAAGTGAGAAGACTTGAGAAAACCTTGCTTTAAAATTCAAATTGGGGTTGGGCTTTTTGAACACAAAATAATATTTTAATTAAAATAATAGTCTTTACTCACTATTTTCCCCTCTTTGTCTTTCTTAGTTATAGATGAGTTTATCAAGCTGATTTTGGTTTCTGGGTGTATATTATTGCACATCTTATCAAATCCCTAAAATGGCCTTTAAATGCTACAACCAACATAGGGCTATTGGAGAAAAACAGTTTTCAATATTCTGCTTCTTTAATTTGCATTCAGTCAGCATGACATTTTGAAGGTATTTTGTCTCTCTTCATGTTGTTCCACAAGCTTGGCCAGAATCCTAAATATCTCTCCTGGTATAGAAGTACAGGACAACTTCTAAGGAAGCAGATGTTTTAGCAAAGACAGTATCTACACTGGAATCCTGTCTCCTGTCCATAATAGCTATTTATCAAAATGCCGTTGCTGCTCAGTACAGAGAAGCATTACAATTGCTGGTCTTAAAATTAAACGTGTCAGTTGTTACCCTGGGAAAAGGAGGAACTATTTGAACACTTCCATTTTAATGCTGTTGCATCAGGAGGATAGTTAAAGAAATACAAGAAATGCCATGCAAGTGAGTCATATATCACTGTATTATAAAATGCTTACATAAATTGATCCTTGTTTGGCACTAAGAAAGAAATATTGTAAAGCTGTGATGTTGTTGATGCTGTACTTTCAAGTCAAGAATGCCTTATGTGACTTGACCAGTGGGAGACTTTGGCTGTTGCCATTCAAAATGATTTTTTTAACTCCTTTAAGTGTGTGCAAACCCAGGCTCTGAGCAATAGTGCACTTCTGTAGCCTATAACACACACACACACACACACACACACACACACACACACACACACACACACATACACACACAAACACAGAGTGCACACACTGATTTTCTGCCCACAAATTTCCTCCCTCTATTCACAGTAGAAGCTTGACTCTTACTTCTAAAAATCAATACTGTTTCTCTCCTTCCCTTTCTTCAGCAATATTGTGTTTCTTTATGGCACCTCAAACTCTTCTGTTAAAATTTGTTGGTATTCATCTGTGCCAGACTGCTAGCAGAATTATTTTCAGAACTCTGAGAAATCATATGGGAAACCTTCTCTGCACAGAGCTCCAATCAGAGAAGGTGCCACAGCCAAATTTGGAGAGATCTCTCAGCACTATAGGACCTTCTGTGTAGCATTTTTAGAGCTGGAGAGAACATAATGGGAAGGGAAAGGTGCAGATGGAAAAATCCACTTTTTTCCATTACAGCTGCAGGGACTTAAATCCATTCCAAGATTGCTAAGATATCAGACTGGAAGTTGTTTTTTGTATCATCTCAAATTGCATAGGGCCTTTTGTACTATGCACGTTGATACAAAAGATGGGGAAATATTTACTACAGAAGCTTTTTTTTTTTTTACTTGTTGATGAAACAGCAGTGAACAGGGGCATCCCGTGGAGATATGAAAAATGTCAAGATGGTCACAACTGCACAATCAAAACCCTGCTGCTTGTTTTGGCTTGTGACAGCTGTGGGTTTGAGTTCATCACAAAGATGTATAGGACAGTTTTCCTTGACTTCTAAATTCTCAGTCAGCTCACCCAATTTTAGGAGCCAAAGTCTCCTAAATCTGAGTAGACACTAGGTTAGAGAAGGTTATATATTATGTCATAAACTTACTTTAGGAATCTTTGCAAATTTCCCCACTCTAGTATCTCGGACACTTGTAATATCCAAAAATTCAGTTTCCTGCAAAATAAAAAATAGCACACACAATTTTAGCATCTGTGAAAAACAAATATAAACCTCAAATCCAGATCATTTGCATAAACAAGCATATTACTTAGTAACCTAATCATCTTTGGGCCTGAGCTTCAGTGAATATGAATTAGTATACAGTATATTTTATCTATTTTTTATAGGTTTAACTCCTATAGGTTTAACTTCCACTAGAAGTAGATTCAGAGACTTTCTTTATCAGACTACTACAAAACAGGAAATTGTTAACATCCAAACTAGAAAAAAATCAAATTGCTGTTCAACTACAGCTACAGCATATAAAAATCATTTTACGCAAAATGTATTTCTAGAGAAGATTTATTATTTTGGTTTCTTGAAGTTTTACAGCAGCCAGAAGAAAGAAGCTTAAATTTGCCTCAGGACTTTTGTTTCAAAGTGTTGACATTATCTATCTACAGTGTTATCACTATTCTTCAGCTTGCTGAGGCTAGCTATTTTAGGGACAAATTACATATTATTTGCAAAGGAATATTAACACTTCTCAATTCTGTGTGTTTTTAAAAACCAAGACAAATCTATACATTCCCTTCATCTGAGAGTAGACAAGCTGTTGACTAATCTTNTCAGTGACAGTGTATATATGTGTGTGATCAAATTGCTCCCCCTGTGCAACAGACCTCTACATTCCATTGTATTTTGTGGGATTGTGCCATTTCAGCTGAAAAATGCTGAATAAATATATGCTGGGAATAGAGATTAGCTGTTTACATCTATGCCCAAAGCCCAATAGGAGCCTATGCTATTGCCATGACCCAGGGCCATCTCAGATCTGAGTGTATCATTGACCAAAGCATTATGAACACCATACTCACTTCTTGACAGGAATTTTCCCCTCAGCGTTCAGCTGCAGCTTCAGTTTCAGCAGACTGCAGGAAAGGGCAGAACAGATACATTTTCATTAGTTTGATATCTACAAAGTTATGGGACAAAATAAGAATGAAGGAAAGTAGCCATAGTAGGGTAAAATATTGAGGTAAGCCTGGTTTGATTCCCTCAGGAACTGGAGCCTGGAGCCAGTGTGAGTAGAACCAAGCCTGTTAAAAGTATCCAAAATAGAGGCTTTAAGATACAAAAAGGAAAATAAGGTTATATGCTGCAGTATCAAGCCTGGATCTCTAGGTTTTCATAGGGGGGATGCAAAGAGAAGGAAGGGGGATAGTTTAGGAAAAGAGAACAGAGACGAGCAAAGAAATAAAGAGGAAGTCCCTTGTTTCCTTCTCCCAAATGGTCAATAAAAGGAATGTCAATGAGTTGATGCTATTTTACCGGTAGGACTGCATTTTCATCAGCTACCCTATGAAGAGAATGTCTTGTTCATATCTGGCTGTTGTTGTTATTGTTGTTGTTATTTGAAGAAGGGGGAAGATTAAATACCTTCCTCCTAAGACTACATAACGCTCAATTTTTTTTAAATGACCAGCTTTCAGCTTCATTCAACCACCAAACCATACTACTTGGACTGTCAAAAAATACTTGGAAATACAAGCTTGGTGAATAATTACTCACATTTTCTCCAGGAAAGTGTAGCGGGAAGCATTATATATAAAGGGGTTCTTAACGAAGTCCATGATATCATCTGCCCAGTTCTGAGAAATGAAACCAAGGATACAAGCTGAAAGACCAACACTTGTGAAGTGTAACATCTACATTTCAGTGCATGAGTGGCTGTGCCAGGCAGTATTTCCACATGAAATAAATGCTCATTTTCCATTATTGCTATCCTTTCTAAAGACATGATTCTATTCTATGCCTCTTTTTGAATCATTGACATTTACTTTCTATGTATTTAAACTAAATGGAACAAATTAACATATTTCTCCTATCTAAAATGGATGATCACATTGATACTCATACTTCGGCATTTGTCAAAATAAATAGATCAAAAGATATAAAGTTTGCTTGAAGACAGTTCAGTCCAATGCACTTGGTTCTTCCTGCCGTCTTTTGTTTACATCACAGTTCTATGAGGTGGGTTTGGCTAAAACATCATGAGTGTTTCAAGGCCAGGAAAGGAACTCATAACTGGATGAGGATTTGAATATGAAAGTAATCAGCCCTAACATAATCACTATATCACACTGATATTATGTTTATTTAGCTTTTAAAACAATCACATATTGTTCCATTTTTGTCCATGGCTATATTCGGTGAAATACTTTAGGGAGGAAATGCACATATAAAAAAACACCCTGTAAATCTAATGTCCAAGCTGGTTTAAAACCAGTGCCTGTCATCTCTAATGTCAGCACTTTAAACAGAATGTCAACTGCTTGTCTTACATACTATATGATACTGTGTGGCTATTTTGGTTAGTTTTTGCTTCCATTAACGTCTTAAACTTTATTTTATTTTCTAATACCTTTCCAACATTTTCTTTATAAGAAACAAAATTGTGAAATGTGAGGTCCACCATATCAGGACCAGAAACCACAGTCAATATCTTGTGAAGAAAGTCGTTGTTTGGAAAATCCAACTTGAAAACGTCTCGGAGCTTGTGATTCTGCAAAGGGTAGACATAGAAATTAATAAATAAAAGCACATTAAGAAGGAAAACTGAAAGGAGAAGTGAGAAGACTTGAGAAAACCTTGCTTTAAAATTCAAATTGGGGTTGGGCTTTTTGAACACAAAATAATATTTTAATTAAAATAATAGTCTTTACTCACTATTTTCCCCTCTTTGTCTTTCTTAGTTATAGATGAGTTTATCAAGCTGATTTTGGTTTCCGGGTGTATATTATTGCACATCTTATCAAATCCCTAAAATGGCCTTTAAATGCTACAACCAACATAGGGCTATTGGAGAAAAACAGTTTTCAATATTCTGCTTCTTTAATTTGCATTCAGTCAGCATGACATTTTGAAGGTATTTTGTCTCTCTTCATGTTGTTCCACAAGCTTGGCCAGAATCCTAAATATCTCTCCTGGTATAGAAGTACAGGACAACTTCTAAGGAAGCAGATGTTTTAGCAAAGACAGTATCTACACTGGAATCCTGTCTCCTGTCCATAATAGCTATTTATCAAAATGCAGTTGCTGCTCAGTACAGAGAAGCATTACAATTGCTGGTCTTAAAATTAAACGTGTCAGTTGTTACCCTGGGAAAAGGAGGAACTATTTGAACACTTCCATTTTAATGCTGTTGCATCAGGAGGATTGTTAAAGAAATACAAGAAATGCCATGCAAGTGAGTCATATATCACTGTATTATAAAATGCTTACATAAATTGGTCCTTGTTTGGCACTAAGAAAGAAATATTGTAAAGCTGTGATATTGTTGAAGCTGTACTTTCAAGTCAAGAATGCCTTATGTGACTTGACTAGTGGGAGACTTTGGCTGTTGCCATTCAAAATGATTTTTTTTCTTTTTTGAACTTCTTTAAGTGTGTGCAAACCCCAGGCTCTGAGCAATAGTGCACTTCTGTAGCCTATGACACAGACACACACACACACACAGACACACACACACACACACACACACACACACACACACAGAGTGCACACACTGATTTTCTGCCCACAAATTTCCTCCCTCTATTCACAGTAGAAGCTTGACTCTTACTTCTAAAAATCAATACTGTTTCTCTCCTTCCTTTTCTTCAGCAATATTGTGTTTCTTTATGGCACCTCAAACTCTTCTGTTAAAATTTGTTGGTATTCAACTGTGCCAGACTGCTAGCAGAATTATTTTCAGAACTCTGAGAAATCATATGGGAAACCTTCTCTGAACAGAGCTCCAATCAGAGAAGGTGCCACAGCCAAATTTGGAGAGATCTCTCCGCACTATAGGACCTTCTGTGTGGCATTTTTAGAGCTGGAGAGAACATAATGGGAAGGGAAAGGTGCAGATGGAAAAATCCACTTTTTTCCATTACAGCTGCAGGGACTTAAATCCATTCCAAGATTGCTAAGATATCAGACTGGAAGTTGTTTTTTTGTATCATCTCAAATTGCATAGGGCCTTTTGTACTATGCATGTTGATACAAAAGATGGGGAAATATTTACTACAGAAGCTTTTTTTTTTTTTACTTGTTGATGAAACAGCAGTGAACAGGGGCATCCCGTGGCGATATGAAAAATGTCAAGATGGTCACAACTGCACAATCAAAACCCTGCTGCTTGTTTTGGCTTGTGACAGCTGTGGGTTTGAGTTCATCACAAAAGATGTATAGGACAGTTTTCCTTGACTTCTAAATTCTCAGTCAGCTCACCCAATTTTAGGAGCCAAAGTCTCCTAAATCTGAGTAGACACTAGGTTAGAGAAGGTTATATATTATGTCATAAACTTACTTTAGGAATCTTTGCAAATTTCCCCACTCTAGTATCTCGGACACTTGTAATATCCAAAAATTCAGTTTCCTGCAAAATTAAAAAATTGCACACACAATTTTAGCATCTGTGAAAAACAAATATAAACCTCAAATCCAGATCATTTGCATAAACAAGCATATTACTTAGTAACCTAATCATCTTTGGGCCTGAGTTTCAGTGAACATGAATTAGTATACAGTATATTTTATCTATTTTTTTATAGGTTTAACTCTAACAGATTCCACTAGAAGTAGATTCAGAGACTTTCTTTATCAGACTACTACAAAACAGAAAATTGTTAACATCCAAACTAGAAAAAAATCAAATTGCTGTTCAACTACAGCTACAGCATATAAAAATCATTTTACGCAAAATGTATTTCTAGAGAAGATTTATTATTTTGGTTTCTTGAAGTTTTACAGCAGCCAGAAGAAAGAAGCTTAAATTTGCCTCAGGATTTTTGTTTCAAAGTGTTGACATTATCTATCTACAGTGTTATCACTATTCTTCAGCTTGCTGAGGCTAGCTATTTTAGGGACAAATTACATATTATTTGCAAAGGAATATTAACACTTCTCAATTCTGTGTGTTTTTAAAAACCAAGACAAATCTATACATTCCCTTCATCTGAGAGTAGACAAGCTGTTGACTAATCTTCCTTTGCAAATGGTTTGCTTTGTGTATAAACAAGGATCTAGAAGCTAGTGAGATGGGGGAAACAAAAAAATATTGGACCCTTGTGGTTCCAATAGAAGAGAATTTCTGTCCACTCAGAACTGTAAAATTGTTGGTGCTCTCTAAGCTTGGCTAGTTGTTACAGACATAATGAAATGAAATTTCATTACTAACTGGCTAAGCACCAACAGAGTACCAAGAACTCCACAAAGCAAAGAAAATGTGCTGTTTAAATTTGGAAAGAAAAAATGGCTGGGAGAATGGGTTGTTACTTCTCCTGACACTTCTCTACTCAAAAATTCTCTCCAAAAGCTGGCTTCAATATAAAAACAGGTCAGTGGGGTGACTGGGACATAGTGGGTTTCCACAGAATGCATTTGAAAAAGATCATGTTAGTCCTAGATATATGTGTCAAAATAATAGATAATAATTCTGGCAAGAATTCCATGAAAAGAATAGAGCTAAGAGGACTTTCGGTAGAAGAAACAACATAGGCAGTTATGGTCTGATGTAGCTTTTGTACTATATGGAATATATGTGGTAGGCATCAGTATGGTTTGTCTGTTTTTTAACTTGCTGTAAGCCGCCCTGAGTCCGTTAGGAGAAGGGCGGGGTATAAATTTAATAAAACCTAAAACCTAAAACCTAAAACCAAACCCAATCCATTAATGTCAGTTTTGTACTTTAAGCTTTTGTTAACGTTCTCAAAAGCAATTCAGCCAGCCAGGGTTGTGAGGATACAAATTCTAGAATACATAGCTAACCTTAAAGGCTGATTTAAATTCAAAATATAAATTTATAAATTTAAATTAAACATTGAATGTGATTTGAATGCAAATCTAGTAATGGCCTCTTCTATACTTAAGCATTTTGTTTGTTTAATTTTCCAATTTTAAAAAGTATTATATTTCCAAGGCAAATGAAAGAGGTGGTATTTTTATATTTGCTTCTCCCTTTATGTAATCCACATGCACTTAATAGTTAGCACTCAAAGGGAAAAAACCTTGGCTTCCTGGAAAGTCTATCCTTCTTTAACTCAAAAGGTCTATGATTGATGTCGGCTCTTCAAGGTAGCCTAGAAAAGACATCAAAATCATGAGTATTAATACTACCGTTGTGTAAGTTTACAGTAACACAATCTTATATGCCCGAAATATCTTTATGCTTATAAATTGGTTACTTGCAGGTTCGCTTCTACCCAGTAGTATCTAACCGTCCAATCCCAGTCAGGGAGGATGGCCAATGCTTCAGGTTCCATTGGTCAAAGAATGCCACTCGGTGGAACCTAGGAGATGCGCTTTTTCTGCCATAACGCCCATCTTGTGGAATAGTCTCCCTTCAGCGATCCTAACCCTGTGTGCCGGGACCCGCTTCTTGCTTGTACAAGTGATTTGGGTTTATTGTTTCTCAGCTACTTTGTATTTTAAATTTTGTAATGCTTTTTATTTTATTTTAATTCTAGGCACTACCCAGAGTCATTTGTTGAGACAGGTGGCCATATAAATTGAATAAATAAATCAAGTTATATTTTTTGCTAGCTGAACCGAGTGTCATATATGCTTGCTCTGGTCTGGGTATGAGGATTTACTAGGAGTGTGCTGAGTGAAAACTAATTTGGAAATTACACAGTAATTTTCCAACCTTTGCAATATAATGATACATGTTCCCAAATAGATACATTTGGCATTAAAGTCAAATCTATACATTTCCTTCATCTGAGAGTAGATAAGCTGCTGACTAATCTTCCTTTGCAGATGGTTTACTTTATGTAAAAACAAGGATCTAGAACAGGGGTGTAAAACTGCTGGCACATGGGCCGGATGCATCATCATCATCATCATCATCATCATCATCATCATCATCATCATCATCATAAAGTTGGAAGGGACCTTGGAGGTCATCAAGTCCAACCCCCTGGTCAGGCAGGAAACCCTACACCATTTCAGACAAATGGCTGTCCAGTCTCTTCTTAAAAACTTCCAGTGTTGGAGTATTCACCACTTCTAGAGGCAGGTTGTTCCACTGGTTAATTGTTCTAACTGTCAGGAAGTTTCTCCTTAGTTCTAGGTTGCTTCTCTCTTTGGTTAATTTCCACCCATTGCTTCTTGTCCTGCCTTCAGGCTCTTTGGAAATGGTGAAACCACGCCCACCCCATTGCCGGCAATGGAAAAAAAGTCACGATACGTCGCAACACGTCACATGACGTTGCGAGTTTGATACCCCTGATGTAGAAGCTAGTGAGATGGGGAAAATAAAGAAGTATTGGACCCTTATAATTCCAATAGAAGAGACTTTTATTTTATTTCTAGAGTTGTAGTCGTAGGTATATAAATGAATTCAAAATGCAAAACTGCACTTCTTTGAATTATTCATTTATTTTTAAAAAAATAGAACTGGGAAACATTTTTATATTTCTAAAGTGTTTGGAGAGGCAGCTGGAGGCAGCTACCTCATAGAGGTAGCTGTAAAACCTGGACGTGCTGCAAAAAGCTGCAAGAAAAAGCAAGATTCATGACCAGCTAAAGAGACAAGATAATGCAATTATGTCCGGGACCTAAAATTATCTAGGTGTCCAGGTTATGATCAACAAAGTATTAAATAAGATGATCCTTCAGGTGAATCCATTCCAGAATTTTGTTTTGCTATTCTTAAGATTTAACACTTTCCCAGCTCCCGCTATATGCATAGCAAATAGTGCATCCTTCACATGTGGGCTAATTCACAACTGCAGAAAAGGAAGTCACTGCAAACCACAGTCTCTGACTTTCTGCTAGAAAGCAGTAGTAAGCAAGCAAAATGTGATGCAAACTTGACAGCTCTTTTTTCGTGCACTTTTTCTTTGAGAAATAATTGAATAGCTTTCCTATGCATTATTGCAAATCCAGCATAGAATTATCTAATCACATCTCAAACATGTATCTTTTTCTTTGTTATATCTGCGGATCTCTTTGGATCAGATCTTCAAACCATATCTTCATTTTAGGCAACATTTTGCTTCTTTTTTCAAAAACTATTTTTAAATATAGATTACAAACAAATTCAACAAGAACTTGTGAGAACAGAAAACAAATTATGACATTAACAGGAAAAAAATCCACATAATAAGTACTTAAGTCTAGTATTAAATCCAGACCATAGAGAAGCATATTGCACCAACTTCTTAGTTTTAATACACACAGATTTTTAAAAAATAAACAATAAACTTGTACCTGGGATCCATTCCTTAAAATCAGAACAGTAAGTTTATTTCAAGTCATGTAAAATTAACTTCTTTGTTGGCCCTAGATCTGATACAGCAATGTTCTTCATGAGATGAGAAATCCCATCTTTTAAGAGCATAGTTTAAGATCCTAAATGGCAATATTTGTTGATGTATATAGTGATATGAAACAAAAATAGGGCTGCAGCTAGAGAAGAGAAGATCACATAGTTAAAAAGTTGTTGCTTTCTAGTTAAGTGCTATATCTCTCAGGGATCCTAAAATTGCAGGCACCTGAGTGGGTGCCAGAGGATTTGGATCATGCTGTTTAATGCATATTTTAATTGCTAAGAAAATAATACAGGTAAATCATTTTTAATATGCAATCTCTCTTAACATCTTTGAAACTGTTTTAAAGTGTTGACCCCTTGTTTAGCCCAAGAATCCCAGTAAAACTTCTTCCTTGCTATTTTTACTTGTGGGTTAATTCCACAATGTCAAAGCCTCATGCAATTTTGGATCATAACCTAACCGTTTGTGCTGAAAGTGAAGATCTCTGTTACATATACCAGAGCCCTGCCAAGAGGTATTATATACTTGCTATCCAAATAGGCTCTAGAGAGAAGAATAATCATAAAAACTCTTGTTCCAACACATGCAGAAGTTAAAAAAAATACCAGTGATGTAGCTGAAAATCTTAAAGCTGCGATCATCATAAAGTAATCTCAGTTTGGTAAAGGCTATTCAAGGGGCTTTAGCTTCCCATAAATATTTTCTCATCAACTTACTTATCTGTGTAAAATATCTAATATGAATTAATATTGGAATCCCCCTAGGCCTAGACTATGCATTAATCTCTATGTAATATCCATTTTATAACATTAATCTTGCCCCAAAAACTTCATGGGAATTTTAAATGTTAACTTATCTATTAAAATTGTATCTACACATTTGGACATATCTGAGGCAATGGCAAACCACTTCTGAAAAACCTTACCAAGAAAACTGCAGGGATTTATTTAGAGACTCTCCAAGAATTGGACATGATTCAATGAAACAAAAAAGCCATATTTGATATACTTTGAGAAAGATATAGAGGTAGCCATCAGCTTATGACCATTTGTTTAATGACTGTCAATGTTATGACAGTCTCTGAAAAGTGATTTATGACCTGTTTTTGAAGTTATGACCATCACAAATTCCAATTGTGTTGTATGTCGAGGGCTAACTGTAAATCTAAGTATTTTATAGAGTCAGTGTATGTTATATATAAATCTTATAGTAAATTCCAAAAGCAACCAATTAACTGTGTTCCAGTCATTAGTGTAACCGGAATATAAACCATAATGCTATAATCTTTCTTGACAACATTGACTGATTATCAAGAACATCTATAATATAATCAGTATATAAAAACCATTTATATTCAGTATCAAGTGCCACTACACTTTTATTTTCTGTAGACAAATAGGAAAAGCCAATGGTTCAAAAACCAGATTAAAGACTAAGAAAGAAAGGCGATATCCTTGCTAGGTGCCACATTGTAACTTCATAGGCTGAAAGATAAATGCATTTGTAAAACTCTTGCCACTGGGTGCAAATACGAAATTATAATCCAATAAACAAAAGATGGTGGAAGTCCATATCTTCCTAGAACACACGTTACAAATTCAGCCTGAACCATGTCAAAGATCTTTCCAATACCCAATAAAATTAGAACAGCTGATTCCAATGTATCTGTCATGATATCTATAAATCACCAAGCAGATGCTTATCTATTTTTTATAAATCCAGAATAAGATGGCTAAATTACAAATGGTATTATGTTCTGAAACCTGTCTAGTGCTTAGTGTCCACATTAAACAAAGATATTAGTTCATTCCTTGTACATCCTGTGGGGTCTTTCTCAGGCTTTAATATTACTGTAATATAAACCTCATAAAACTACCGTATATAGGGAATTTAGAAGGATTAAAAGATTGACTACAGGCCTCCACCAATATCGCTTCCAATAAGACTGTAGAAATTCTGGACCATGCAACAGAAACACCATCTGTTTCAGAGTTCTCCTCAGTTTCATAGATTACAATATTTCTGAGATTTCTTGTAATGTCAAGAAATGTTTATTTTTCCTATCCCAAAAACCTTTTCCATTTCAATATGTCCCAGGAAATTGTTACTTCCTTGCAGTTCAGTTAAGGGTTGCTTACTTGATGTACATGAATATAAATATAATGTAATAAAGGATATAATAACACTGATTATTGATGGATCCTGACTCACAAAATAACTGTTCACCGTTGGTCTGAATTCCAGATATAAAATGTGTTGTATCAAATGATAATGCCAAAACTTTACAGCTTCTCCAGATTACCAATATTTCTGACTGAAACATGTCAGAGTATTCAAAGTGTTCTGAGCATAGAATCTCCCCCCCACCTCAAATTTCGTTGTTTTAAATATTTGATGTGAGTTGTCTGTGTTGTTTCTAGCATATAACAAAAATGAATTTTTAATCTTATTTTCTAATTGTTCAGAATTAATGTCTCTGATACTCCTTTTGGCTCAGATGAAAGCAACAATGGGAAACCTGATAGATGTCTTATACTTACCCCAGCGACTTAACTTCTTGGTAGAACTCCATTTTTTTTTTAAAAAAAAATTCAATTGTTCTGCAAAATGTTAATCTCTTAAGAGACAAATATTAAAATGCCATCTAAAATTAGCTGAACTGTAACTGCTAAAATTCACAGTCAGAGTCCCTAGAGTATGGTCTGCAATTGTAACAAGGTCTACTGATCCACCAAAACAGAAGAACTAAAAATAATCTATTCTAAAACAATTTTAATGTACTTATAAAAAAAAGGTTTTCTACATTTTAGATTCTAACAATGCCAAATATTTCTAATATATATGCTTTATAATGCCTTCCAGTTTTAAGAAGAAATATTTTTTTCTATCTGAGGATCCTAAATTAAAGTCTCCAGCCCAGATTATACAGTATGCTGATAATTTTCAGAGCATGGTTTAGGATGTGAATTGTTTCTGAAAACATTTATATGGTGTATACTGTGGCTTCTGGCGGTTCAGGACCTACCTTATTTTGAAATGTCCAATATAGATAAAATCCCTTTGGATCCACCCGTAGAATGATAGGAAAAGCATTTGCAGATTCCTGGGAGGAAAAAGATGCATAGTTCAAAAATCTTAATTTATTCATTTTTTTTTCATTTATTTAGATAGGAAACAAAGAAAATGAATACAGATAGTCCTCAACTGACAACCATTTGTTTAGTGACCATTCAAAGTTACAACGGTACTGAAAAAGTGACTTATGATCGTTTTTACCACTGTTGCAGCTTCCCCACAGTCACGTGATCAAAATTCAGAGAGCTCAAAATGTGGTTGGCCCCAACTGTCAGAACTCTCAGTCCAGGTCATATGTAGCCCCCCAGGTGCATCCATTGTGACTTTAAACGGGCACTAAACAACCAGTTATAAGTTGAGGATTTCCAGTACAGCTGAGGTCAATTCCCGACTTGTTCCATGTTAACAACTTTATTGTGCATTATCTGAAACTCTGAAATTGTCTTAATTCAGAATATACCTTTAATCTTCTAACACAGGGGTCCCCAACCCGTGGTCTGTGGACCAGTACTGGGCCACAGCATGCCAGGAACCAGTCCGTACAAGCAAGGAAAGCCCCATCGGCAGGATGCAGGCAGCACACAAACCACGCCTCCTCCGGTCCACGGAAAAACTTCTCTCCATGTAACCGGTCCCTGGTGCCCAAAAGGTTGGGGACCTCTGTTCTAATATACATATTGTCGTTATACCATATAGTATAAATGCCATGAGAAGATTTGCACTGATCTGCTTCAATATGAAAGGCTGAGATGGCATTTCATCCGAAGAAAAATTTACAGCTGACATTTGCAAAAGATAAAGTCATCCCAACAGCTTATGTCCAAGTGACAGCTTATTCCAACTTGAACCTAAGCAATAAAACTCAAACTGGTGGTTGGTGGATTAACAGAGACGATGCTACCACCATATCCATTTGCTTGTTGATTGCTTATTTAATGTTTTACATTAATATATAAACAATATATTTGTATTAGTATATTTTTATATTTATGAGTTTAAATGTAAGCTCACCCAGAGTGACTTTGCAGAGTGATATGAGTGGCATATAAATTTGATTAAATAAATAAAAAAAAGGTTTGCAAAGCTGGTCCATGAACAGGAAACAAACAACCAAGCTATTCTTGATGCACTTGTTCCCAATTTGGATACTGATACTGGTAGCAATTTTAATACATATCTCAAACGGATATAAATAGAGAAAGAGACAGAGATAGCGAGATAGAGATATACTGATTCAGCTTCCTCATTATTGAGCAATGATAATTCTCAAGAAGTCTGAAGAAAAAGTAGATACTATATTTAGTTACATTCTTGTGCACTGGGTGCATCTTCTTGATTATCAAGTGTATCCATTTAATCATTTTAGAATAGAGTGGCCCTCTGCTTTTAAGAATGTATTCCTGATTTCAAGGGCTGTTCAGTCTGAGTCAAGTTTATTGATAGAAATCATTAAGGCGGAAGAGCAAACATTGAGAAGTTGCCATCCACAGTCATAACACACTGTAACATCCAGCACTTGAACACACTCTTTTCCACTATGATAAGATGTGCTTCATTTCTGTACAAATTATAATCATTATTTCTAAAATTGAATCTTTACACTCCATCAGCAGATGTAGCCTTTGTGCAAGTCTGTCCTCTTCTGCCCTCTTTCGTCAGAATTTTCTCTTTAGCGGAAAGTACACTAAGTACAACCATGCCAGCATTTAGCAATGTTATGCAAAGCACAGAAAATAAGCAAGCAGTAAGTAAAGGAAATAAAAGGCAGAAGATAAGAGAAAAAGAAGCATAGCTAAATCTAGTTTACACAAAAACATTCATTATACCTTCCCAAAGTTTTCTATCCTTGTAAGCTAGCCTTTAGCATTTTATCATATCTAAACTCCAATTCATACATTTTTTGTGTGTAATTTACATTTCTCATCTCTCTTTTTGGATTCCATCCAACCATAACATTCTTGGTCCTCCCCTTCCTATCAACTCACGTTTCTTTCTTGTATTTCTTTTGCATTTAGTCCTCATCCATGCTATCAACATTATCAAACATTTGTTATTTGCCACAGACCATTTACCACTCACGATCATTCTACAAATTTTACATGTCTTAAAACTTCTCCAGCCATTTTGCCATCTTTAGACAGCATTCTGTCAATATATACAATATATATCAACTAGCTAATTCTTCGTTACAGGTGTATAACTTAAAAACATTCAGCATCACTTGGCTATTCCCTATCCAAGCTATCCTCTCAGTTTCATTACGCAATCTAAGTAATATGCATTGCAAAGCATTTGAGTTCTCAGCCAGCAAAATGACATAGTCTTCATAAAAAGGCACACACACTTTCACATTTGTAACAAACATACATCTAATGTCCATACAGGCATTCCTTATATATTTGTTCATAAATACAGTACATTAAACAACCAAGATTCCATCCCCTTTTCTATCCCCTGTACAGTGTTGAACAATTCACTAAGCATTCTATTTATTATGTACATGCTTTACTTACATCATATACTGCTTTGTGTCATTCCACAGCTAACCTTCCATACTATCCCTATGGAGATCGTGTAACTGGTAGAAAACGTTGATAATTTACTACCTGTTGGGGAATGTGTACTAAAGTACACTAGTAGATTCAAGGGAATATGTTTAAATGTCAAAGATGTGAATGTAATATTGAATTATATACCAAAATACTGGAATTCGATTGTTTATCAAGTTTGGAGAGTGAAGAGGCAAAGAGAACTATATTACGAAATTGGAAAATTTACTGTATATTATTCCAGATGCCAAAGAATGGTTGTTGGACATGTGTGTTCTACTTGTTTTGTAAAAAGCAATATTTTTTACTAATCAAAGGATGTGGCAATATACTTTTTACTGTTGATATTTTCTGCAAAATGAACATTCTGCAACCTTGGAATCTGCAGAAATACGAAGAGCCACAATGGAGTCCTTGTTGACTAACAGACTTTAGTTATGACCATTTAAACATAGAGCTTTTTCCATTTCATCTAAAGCAAGATTCATATCAATGCGATCCTTTTGTGCTTTCTGTCAAATTTTGTGAAGCATTTGAAAATTGCAGTTAATCTTAATTTTACAAGTTGTATTAATAAGGAACTAGTAAATTGGGATGCTGAATAATAGCAGGCATGTAACATCACATGACCACAGATTGATATGACCACATCTCAGTAAGTATTAAATCTAAAAAAAACGTACTTATTAACAGGCCTCCACCAAAAATCTCTTAATCTCTCTGTCAGGGTGATACGAAAGGAAGCAATTCATCAATCCAGGGATAAATTTGACAGTACTGTACTGTATATCATCTCAGTCCCTTTCTAGGGGCTACTAAAGGCTCTGCTGCTCTGCCTTCCTGAAACAGGCAGAATTGGAACCAGAGATTGTCCTCAATTTGCTAAGACACTAAAGCCACCTTAACCCACAACCATGGATGTTCATTGCACCATGTATGCATTACACCATGCATGTGATCCAAAATGGGTCTGGTTTCGCTCCCATGTCCATATCAAAGCAAGAATTGTCATGGTACTTACATCATCCCACCTGATAAAGCGTTCACCTTCAATCATGTACTTCTTCACCTTAGGAGGGCTCAGGATAGGAGTAAGCACGGACATTTTGGCATTCCCCCCACTCCAAGGTTGGACGGGGACGGTGTCTCTCTTCGCTTCCTCTGCCTCCTTGCTGCCTTTTGGAGCTTCTCCTCACATGGTGCTCACTGTTATTTCAGGAACCAATATGCTTTATAGGCAGGAAAAACTCTGCAGTGGCTTCCAGACTGAGCTCCTGATCTGCATAGGCAAATGATGGGCTTTCTAAAGCACACAGGTAAACGCTGAAAAATCCAGAAATAGCGGGCTAGGTAGACAGACGTGATCAACAGGAATCATAAAACTGCAGAAAAGAAACCAACTAGCGAGGGTTTCCTGCTCTCAACTTCCTCATTGAAGCTTCTGCTTCTCTCCTCAGCAATTCAGAAATTATTTCAACATTCCTTTCTGAGACTTATTCATGTCTCAAAATTAAACATTGTGGCAGGGAATTCAGAGAGTTCTTCTCAATACTCAGGGAATTAGAGGATTTGTAGGTCCAATGTATCCAGAGAGTATGACATTGGAAAAAGTCAAGATACTTGGTTAACTGGCTGCTCTGTTTTTCTTTGAGAAACTGAGTCATCATTGTTCCCTTCCGCTATTAACTGTGGCCTCTTCACAGAGTGTGGCTACTGCTTGCCTATTCAGTGTTTCTCAAACTTGGTAACTTTAAGATGTGTGGACCTCAGCTCCCAAAATTCCCCAGCCAGCATGATTGGCTGAAGAATCCTGGGAGTTGGAAGTCAACACATTTCAAAGTTGCTAAGTCTGAGAAACATTATAGCAATAGCACTTACACTTATATATTGTTCCATAGTGCTTTATAGTACTCTCTGAGTAGTTTACAGAGTTAGCATATTGCCCCCAACAATCTGATTCCTCATATTACTGACCTCAGGATGGAAGGCTGAGTCAAACCTGAGCCTCTCAGGATCGAACTCCATGTTGTGGGCAGAGTTAGCCTGCAATACTGCATTCTAACCACTGTGCCACCATAGTTCCTCTTTATATTAGATGAAGAGAACTTCCCAAATCCCTATACTCCATATCTCTAACACAATTTCCCTATAAAATATACTATTCTTGTTATTTCTTTAGAGGTTATTTCTACTTGTCCTGTATCATTCAAGAACAGAAGTGATAGGGTGAGCTATTTTAAAATGTTAGCTTACACTTCATAGCAGGGCCTTGAGCCTTCATGAATTTAATTTAACAGAATAACAGAGTTGGAAGGGACCTTGGAGGTCTTTTAGTTCAACCACCTGCTCAGGCAAGAAACCCTATACCATTTCAGACAAATGGTTATCCAATCTCTTAAAAAATTTCAGTGTTGGAGCATTCACAGCTTCTGGAGGCAGGGTGTTCCACTGATCAATTGTTCTAACTGTCAGGAAATTTCTCCTAAGTTCTAGGTTGCTTCTCTCCTTGATTAGTTTCCATCCGTTGCTTCTAGTCCTGCCTTCAGGTGCTTTGGAAAATAGCTTGACTCCCTCTTCTTTGTGGCAGCCCCTGAGATATTGGAACACTTCTATCATGTCTCCCCTCATCTTTCTCTTCATTAAACTAGATATACCCAATTCCAGCAACCATTCTTTATATGTTTTAGCCTCCAGTCTCCTGATCATCTTTGTTGCTCTTCTCTGTACTCTTTCTAGAGTCTCAACATCTTTTTCACATCATGATGACCAAAACTGGATGCAGTATAGGCATTATAAAGCGGTACTAACACTTCATGTGATCTTGATTCTATCCCTCTGTTAATGCAACCTAGGACTGCATTGGCTTTATTTATATAAAACTGCAAAAATCCAGATGACTATAAAGTGACAGGAAAGAATTTCTGAATCTCTTTGCTAGATCGAATGATTTATTAATTGCAAAAAAATACACCAAAACCTCCTATCTGGTAGTCCTAATTTGTTTTTGGAGATTTATTTTGTTTTCCCTGAGATTTTTCTTGCTTTCCATTCACCATAAACATTTTTTCCTCTCCATGAAGCCATCCCTATTTCAAAAGAAAGGATTCCAAGCAGTGGTGGGGATTCAAATATGTGAACAACCGGTTCTCTGCATGAACGCTGCTTCTGGAAGTCCGTTCTGGACCTGGCCTCTGAGACCCAGAAAGAACTTCCAGAAATGGCGTCCATGCACTTCTGGTGGGCCATTCTGGGCCTTGCAAAAAAGGGCTAGGGCTTCAGTGGGCACCATCCAGTAGTGGGATTCAGCTGGTTTGCTGAACTCAATTGGTGCGAACCGGCTGAATCCCACCACTGATTCCAAGTATCACATAGTTAACACATTTTAAAAATGTATTCACTTCACATTATGTTTTGCACTTTACCTTTGATAGATATCTACATACCACTTTCACTTTTAACATCAGAGAGTTCAAAGCAGCCTCAAAGGTTACCTAGTTTGACTTCCATCAATATAAGACAGAGATCAGTGTCTAGCCTCTGCTTAAAACAAAACAAAAGCAAATTAGTTCATATTACAGCACAAGATTTACGTTTACAAAAAAGAAGGTGACAGAAGACAAACATGTTTTTTAAAAAGGTCTGCTTTGCAGAGTTATAAAAATAGGAATTTTCATTATAATTTGCACTGAAACTGGAGGGGAATAATGTGACCGGATGATCACCGTATCTCCTCCAACTGCTATTCACATCTATGATGGAGCAACTGTTTACCTCAGTTATGATTGCTTATCTGCTCACCCCATATTTTGGCTGACTTCACTTGCTAATTTATACCAATGCTGGATTCTTCAGAATTCTAAATCAGATTATGTCCTAGCTCATCTTAAGGTACCGATCTTTTTTGTTTTAGAAAAAGCAGCCTGCATCCATGTTGGTGGATAAATTTCTACATGAATGCTTCCTTACTGTGGAAATACAATAAAATACAATCACAAGCCAGCAAATCCTCTGTTGCAGTGGAAAGGCTGTTGAAGACAGCCAGTCACCATTTCATGTTGCTGCAAGAGCTGGGACTGTTTGCCAGTGGAAGACGTAGACAGGGTTAGCCATGCAAACATAGTTGGTAGACTTGAGTTTATGGTTTAGTACATTATGTGAAGTGGACCAGATATGGGCTATCAGCATATCATGGTTAAGTAAATAATGATTTAATGTACTTTACAAGCTATGCTTTGAAGCCTTTTGCTCTGCAATTCCCTGCATTATTCTGCAATGGCTGTCTGAAATCTGCACACAGCTCGAATTAATTCTAGTGAGTGTTTCCTGCAGCAAAAGAAAAAAAAAATACTTCTCCTCATTTAGAAGATGATTCAGTAATGGAAAATCTCTCTCTCATTTACATTAAAGATTTTAAAGTAGAAATTGGATTGAAGTGGCATGAAGTAAGGATGATTTGAGTATTCCTTCAAAATCTATGAATTTAACATTTTTAGCAATGAAAACATGAAATTTCAGCGAGAGAAAGAGATAACATTCACAAGAAAGTTTCAAACTAAACTGGAATGAGCTTGTAAAAATGGCAGTCACTGAGCCCGTTTTGAATAAATCAAACAGAAGGCTTGCTCTAGAAGCCAACATGCTGTCAAAATATTTCCATGCACCTAAACTGAGATTTAAGAATCATTTCCTCCTATGGAAAACAGTTGTTATTTGGCTACCTGTGGCTGTGATTTACATACTATGCAAATCATCAGACATATCAGAAGCTTTGAAGAGGAAGGGAGGAAATGGAGAGTGCTTGCCCTTGAGAGCAAACATTTCACTAACTTCCTCCCATTTTGTGGGATCAGGCCTGGGGCTGCCAGTTCTGAACTGCAAAAATTCAGAACTCACAGAGGGCAGCAAAGATATATAGTGGCCGCTTAGTCCTGGCACTAGTAAATCCTTGCCCTTATAGGTTTTGACTTGTGGTTTGTCAGACTTGAATGATTTAAAAAAAAAAATAGTACGAAAGCTTAGTACATCTGTCTCTGTGCATAAATAGGCTTATTTCCACTTTTCTATCCCTGACCAGAAATTCCTACATACTGAAAAAGTGATACATACAGTATTATGTATCTATGAATTTAATTGTAGCCTAGAAAAAAACCTTCACTATTTATCATTCGGGTAAATGACATTATCTATCTATCTATCTATCTATCTATCTATCTATCTGTCTGTCTGTCTGTCTGTCTGTCTGTCTGTCTATCTATCTATACATACATACATACATACATACACACACACACACACACACACACATGGAGAGTGTGTATGTATGTAGAGAGACTTGGTGTTTTAATTAGCCTAAATATTATATCTTAGCAAAATATGCAGCAATTACACTGAATGGGCAAGTGTCTTTAACATTTTGATTCAGTTCTGTGACTATTTATGCACAGAGACAGATGTACTAAGCCAGTGGTGGCGAACCTATGGCACGGGTGCCAGAGGTGGCACTTGGAGCCCTCTCTGTGGGCACATGCACCATCTCCCCAGCCCTGCCTCCTCCTACGGCCCCCTCCTCACCAGCAGCCCCCCTGGAAGAAAGTTGCCCCTGGGCACGGCCCACACGAAGCAGCAGAGCCAAGGACATGGTAGCTGGGCAGCGGGGACAAGACTCCGCCCTTGCGCCCCATTGCGCACAGATGCTGCTGTGAGGCAGGGGCAGAGAGCATGGCCACCATGGCACTGTTGGGCTGCCTGGGTGATCTGTGGCAGGCCGTGGAAGTGGTAGGTGATGCAGTGGGCAGGGCGGAGCGGGGACGGGGTGGGGGCTAGTTTTTGGGCACTCGGTCTCTAAAAGGTTCGCCATCACTGTACTAAGCTTTCATACTTTTTTTTTTAAAAAAAAAAACCCATTCAAGTCTGACAAACCACAAGTCAAAACCTATAAGGGCAAGGATTTACTGGTGCCAGGACTAAGTGGCCACTATATATTTTTGCTGCCCTCTGTGAGTTCTGAATTTTTGCAGTTCAGAACTGAGATGACATCATTTGTAACCTGATTATGATCTTCCATTCATTCATATGTGATGTTCCTATTGTTATGCAAATGTCATCATCATTCACAGTTCCACTATTAGTGTTTAGGGGTGTTTGTGATAGATAAAACAAACCAGGCTTTGTTATCAATGGTAAAAAGTTTAATATATATATATGATTTGGGGTGCATGTTTCTGTTTGGAGTAGATTTTTAGAGGGTGGCTTGGGGATGTTATTTTATGCACATACAAATTGCAGATAGTTTTTTGCACATATAAAAAGTACTTGTTTTCAAG